AATATATTTTACGTAGTAATAAAAATATAACTTGACATAAGCATTTATAAATAATTTATATTCAAATTACATCATTTCTATGACCAAGGGCGGCGTAAGGCATGGACGACGTGGCCACCGCCTATGCCTCGCAGTCCGAAGGGCCTCGCGCCTCGAATGTTTATGCATTACTTAAAAGCCGTGAACGAGACGAAAAAATTTTACTCGTCATAAAACGATAAATAGTTTGTCAAATTTTTATTCATAAAAATGCAGTTTCAACTGCTTTTTATTTCATAAAGTCCGTCTTCTTGCGCCACCAGAGGGCCTTTTAAACAATAGGTAGTCTGTTAACGCTGGTCAGTAGTAGTCCGAATTCAATACGAACGTTTGTTTCTTGAAAATTTGATCACGATTTAAATACTGTACTGTATTTACTTTTAATATTACCGATATGTAATCGAAAAGAAAACGTGTTGTATTATCATTAAAAGACAAAGTATTTGTTTCGATTATCCGGATTTTTCCTTATCCGGACTACCTTCATCCCCAATTAGTCCGGATAATCGAGGTTCTACTGTATTGGATTAACAGGCATTTCTCTAAAATGGCTAATGACATATCTATCAAACAGAAAATACCACATATAGATAAATAATTCAATTTCAAAATCTTTTACACTTTTAAACAAAGGAATTCCTCAAGGCTCAATATTAGGACCTCTACTCATCATTATATATACAGATGACTTCTTTCAAACCTTGCCAGAAGACAATATAATTATGCATGCCAATGATATTGTAATAACATATTCAAATGAAAACTATTAGGCCATCTAATATGAGTTAAATAACATGTTAGTCAAGTTAATAAATTATGTGGAATCAAACAACATGAATATAAATATCAACAAAAACAAAATACCTGTTCTGTAAATAGAAACAAAAAAGTTAATCTCAAGCAGATGTACATAAAAATGAACAACACTGAAATAAAAAGAGTCGACAATATAAAGTACCTAAGAATTATAATAGGCAATAAATTAAGATGGAATTTGCAAATAAATGAACTGGCCAAAACCTTAGCAAGATTTACAGGAATAATCAAGAAAATACAAGGTTATTTGAATATCGCTCTGATGAAATGTTTATACGAAACTTTCATCAAAACCAAGATAAAATATGCAATCGTAACATGGAGTACTGTAACTGAATATTGCTTAAAGACTTCAAATCTCACAAAACTCTTTAATCAGAGCAATACATAATTTAGATTTGAAACAGTTACTGCATACTGTTATCAAGATAAAATAGAAAAGGTTAAGATTGCAATATATGAAACAAACATTATTAAATAGTTTTAAATTAATCAAACTCCAAAAAAAGGACTGTTTTCTTTGTGATATAATAATAAAGCAACGAAGACAAAATAGTTATAGTGGCAGAAGAATCAATGATTATCTACTCTCAGGTTCAAAATGTATAACAGGACAGACCGCGCCAATATACCAAATAATAAAACTGAATCATCTAAAAAGGAAAGTAAAGAAATGAATAACTATAAGAATTTCAAAAAATTATATTAAAAATAATTCTATCAGCCAAATATTCACATAACATTAAATGATTGTATATTCAATAATTTGTATTAAAAAAGGAGGAAATATCTACAATCTGCAGTTGTGTGATTGTTATACTGTAATCATTTTTAATATATAACTGTTTTTGTGTTTACTTCTTTTTGTTTTAAACTGTTTTATTAACATTTTCATTTTTGTGTTCATAGTAACTGTCTTTTAGATACTTGAAAAAGACCTATGGCCATAGTATCTTAGTAAATAAAAAAAATTAAATAAATAAAATATTTTTGAAGCTAACATCCTCTCTTAAGGAACTGAAAATTGTTATTGCTATATAATGAATTATAGAATTGTTTCCTTTCTTAGAAAAAAATCAGTTTGTGATTATTTGTCCTGATAATACCAATTAACAAAAAATTATATAATAGATTTTTTAAGTTTTATATAATTGAATAATAGTAATACAGTGGAACCTTGCTTAACGAGCATAATTCATTCCAGTCTCTTATTCATAATGCAAAACACTCATTAAGTGAAACAGTTTTTCCCATATAAATTAATGTAAAATATGATAATGCATTCAATGCCAAAAAAATACTCAAATATTTTATGTATAATGTTTATTCAAAGAAAATTATACAATATACATTGTTAAGAAGCATGAATCATCATCATCTTTTCTTCTAGCATTGAATGAACCAATCTGAAATGTGAATTTGATTTGCAGAAAACAAAAAAAATCACAGATAATATGTCTGATAAGCATGCCAAATTCTTCAGCTATCTAAAGGCTATAATTAAATATTAGAAATTAATTAATTTGACTAGAGGTAGGTAGTTATGCTGCCATCTCATATTAAATTAAATAATTATAAATAATTAATTTTTAATTTAATTATTAAATTTGCATAGCCCAAGAATTTCGCATATCGTTTGGCATGTTTATTATATAACAGGCAATAGTTGTTGATGTCTATACATAATATGTGTGAACACAAGTTTGGAAAAATGTTTGATCATGAGCAACACTAAGATGCTAGTGGAACGAGTGCTAAACACAGATTGATGGAGCATGTGCACAATCCGGGACTTCCCCTTTCCTGGTCACTCATTATGCAAAACATCGCTTGTTAAGCGAGTCATATTTTTACAATTTGTTTTGCTCATTAAGCAAGGTTTCACTGTACAGTTATAATTACATTACATTAAAAATTTAATTATTATTATTATAATATAACTTGTTAATAGATTAACATAAACCAGGGGTCGGCAACCTGTGGCTCGCAAGCCACATGCAGCTCTTTGAAGGATTATATGTGGCTCTCGATAAATGTACCCGAGTTCCCTTTTCGTTTTTGTGTTGTTATATTTTTAAAAATTATTATCGTTCCGTATGTGTTTCAAAATGTCTTTTAAATTACTAACAACAAATATGAAAGACTAAGTGCAACGTTGTAACAAATTTCANTTTTTTATCAAAAAACTTTATTTATGCGAGTACTATTTATTGTTGGCAAGAAAAAATTTTGTGGCTCTTTAAAAACTTTGAAATTTTGTAAATTGTAATTTTTGGCTCTTCCGACTCAAAAGGTTGCCGACCCCTGACATAAACTATTTATAATGAAAAACATTAGCATCTTTAAAATTAAAACAACTTTTAAAAACAATGTACAAATTTTCAATGATCTAGGTTTCAGTTTTTTTTTTCTTTTCTAATCTTCAAAATTATGAATTATCTTAAATTTATTTATTTTAGCTTATAAAACTTTATATTTAATAATAAAAATAGTACTTACAATATTAATATTTGGCTTATCTATCTTATTTATGGCTACAATTATAGGAACTGAAATGAAATACACAGTTTATAAATGCTTATACTATGGAATAATATAAAATGCATAAAATAAAATTATATATATATATATATAATTAGTGTGGTATTAGTGTATATATAGTGAGGTATTAGTGTATATATATATATGTATGTATGTATATATATATACACACTAATACCTCAAATAATTCAAGTCTAAGTGGTATAGATTCAGAATATATTTGTTATTACAAAAAAGAATTCAGCATAGTATCCCTGTATATTAATTGCATTTTATCAGTTTTATATAATTTATTAGAATTCATCTAATTATAATAATAGAGTTATGAAATTTTAGTTTTCGTTAATGCATTAATTAAAATAAAATTAAATGTTTTAAGTCATTTCACAAATCTATGTTTAAAATATTTGTGTGTGTGTGATTAGATTATTATTTAATATATCAGATATTAGATAAATAGCATCTAATTATTAATCAGGAACAATAATAAATAATTAGAAAAAAGAAATAATACTCTCTTCCCTGAACCTGTTACCGGCACGTTAGGCAATGGTAACAGGTTCAGAGAAGTGAGGATTTTACTCTGGTGCTGAAGTTCGAGTGAACTTTGTGAAGAAATAATATGTATTAAAAATGAAAAATGTATTAATTGAAAGAAAAAATATATAAAAACAGCATAATAAAATTTTCAAATAATTTATTAAATTTTTAAAATCAGTAACTTTTTCATGTTAAGTTTAATGTGATTTATACATAATTATACACAATGAATTGTTAAAGAAACAGACAGAATTTTATTCATAAACAACTTCTCTCAATTTTTAAGACAATGTATTTTTGCAAGAATTAACCTACAAGAAAAAAAGAAACAGATTTGGAGAAACTTCAAATAAACTAAAATACTATTTCAAAAGTTGAATTTTTATTAGTGAAAGTTTCAGGAATATTTCTAATTTTTCAATTTTTGAGAGAATAAATAAATAAATTTTTATATTTTAAATTGTTAATAAAATATAAACTCTAGTGTTTACAAACTGAGAAAATGCAAATCTCAGTGAAATTTAAGCCTAAGTTTATTGGTGACTTGATATGTTCTCTGATAAATTAAACTACCAATACTATTGTGTATTTTAATGGGACTATAACATTTTTTTCTATCTTAATTTCTTTCTTTCACTAATAAATAAATAAATAAATAAATTTATTTATTTATTCAAAAAATTTTTATATTTTAAATTGTTAATAAAATAAAACTCTAGTGTTTACAAACTGAGAAAATGCAAATCTCAGTGAAATTTAAGCCTAAGTTCATTGGTGACTTGATATGTTCTCTGATAAATTAAACTACCAATACTATTGTGTATTTTAATGGGACTGTAACATTTTTTTCTATCTTAATTTCTTTCTTTGCTTGCATACATGGCTTATATCTTTGGTATTTATTTTTTATTAATAATTTCAGTACTCAGTACATAAATTTAAAATTCATATATGTCATACTAATAAAGTTATATAAAATTATAGTATGATGTTTAATATATTTTATTTTGCTTCATTTGCCTAAAATGTCACTAATTTCTTTTTAAAAATAAAATAGTTTATTATTATTATTATTATAAATTCAGCAAAAGAAACTTATCCAAAAGTAACAGCACTTTTTGTTGTTTCAAAATTCTTAATAATATGAAGTGCTATCAACATTTTGTAATACACATCACGTAAATACTTTTGATATGACACTAAAAAGTACTTGCAATCTGTAGCGGTTCTATTGTAAAAAGAAATGAAAGCCATCAAAACTAAAAAAAAACAAATAGAATTCATTTACCTTGAGCTTCTTTTGCATATTTTATAGATTCAACTGTTTGTTCCATTACTCCATCATCAGCTGCTACTACCAAAACAACTATATCTGTTACATTTGCTCCTCTTGCTCTCATGGCTGAAAATGCTGCATGTCCTGGAGTGTCCAAAAATGTTATTTTTTCCTTATTTGGTAAGTTAACTGAAAATATGTTTTATTCAAATTATAATACCGTTGAATGAAAATTCATAATGGAGGAATAATTTTGGTTTTATATATAAGTTATATAAGCAAATTTCAGATTTTATTTTAATGATTTGTAGAATTTATATTTATTTTTTATATTAACAAAAAAAAATTGAAAATTTAAATATGTTAACCATATTGAAATTTATTTTTGATACAAATCATTATTTAAATAAACTCTGAGAACTAACACAAATCACATATTAATCACTTAAAAAAAAATCTTAATTATCATATTTAATAACAGTATAAAAGAAATTTATTAGTTGTCTGGAAGAGATGCTAAGGATGCTGTTGAATTAAGTTTTCATAAATCAAAAATAACATACTGATAGAGTTGTCATTTCTTTGCTTTTTGTTTTGCAAATTACATATATATATATATGTTAGGCTCAAAGACCAAAATTGCTTTGTCAGGAACTTTTTTAGTAAATTAGTTATTAGAAAACATTGACATATCGAGCACTGCAACAGATTTTCACAAATGATTACATGCTGAAAAGTAACCAAGTAACCTAGCCTAACCTAACCTAACCAGAATGCATTGTGGTCAAATATTACGAAAGTCACGACACAAATTTTGCTTTGTGGTTGTTTTGAATTAGCCACAATGTGTTTTGGTTGTTTTTTTTTGCTCAATGAGCAATTTCAGTCTTTGAGCCTAACATATATAGAAATCTTCAATTGTTCAATTTCAATGTACTACTGATTTTCATTTTTTCATTCCTTCTGCTCTATGGGCTAAACTAGTGTTTCTCAACCTCTAACGAATCGTCGACCCCTTCAACATAGAATTTCTCCCTTTAATAAAACCGTTACGCAATATCGCCCCCTTCACTTCAGAATTCCAATGCCGAGGGCCATGGCTAACATCAAATTCGTACTGCATTGAATAGACTAGTGACTAGTATAATGTTATTTGTTTAATTATTGTACAATATAATGAATAAAATATCTAATTATTCTTATTATAATGTTTTACTATATTGCCCAGAAAATTGTTTTTTGCCCCCCAAAATATAAATTGTTACTAATCGCCCCCTCAATATAGAACTGGGAAAAACGCCCATATGGGGGCGATATCGCCCCCATATGGGCGTTTTTCCCAGTGTTGAAAATCTGTCAAGGGTTTAGCCCAGTATTGAGAAACACTGGGCTAAACCCTTGACAGGGGCATAAAAAAATATCCAGTATGGATTCAACCAAATCCACAATTGGGGTAACGGCCGAATTCGTGGCTGAATTTTTCATGGTCAGGCTGACTATGAAAAAATTCTTCAGGCTTTTGATCTAAACTTGAAGCACTCTGGGTTAGAGCAACAGGCTAATGTCTACATTCTTGGTAAAGCCATCAATGCATTATTGTTGATATATATTTTACATTTTTGGATAATTTTCAAAGCAATTTGAAATTAATAAAAGTAACATAAAAATATATTGGAATATATAAAAATATGCATTTATATACAGTTAATACAATTTTTTCTGTACACAACAATGAAATAACTGTCAAAACAGCAATAACAATATATATCAGTCATATACTTTTGTGAACTGTCATGTATTATATGTTATATAATTTAGGGCAATATAATTTAAATTGTCATATATTGTTATATGATAAACTTTGATAACTTATTTTAATAAATAAGAAAAAACGTAAAAATAAATAAATTATAATTTTAAGTTTTTATCATTGCTATTTCTATCACAATATAATGACTATCAAATATTTTTTAATGCAATAACAATAAATTTTTATAAAATAATATTGCATTTTACCTGTAAAAGCTCCTATATGTTGCGTTATGCCACCAAATTCTTGTTCTACTACAGAAGTATGTCGTAATGTATCCAAAAGTGTGGTTTTTCCATGATCAACATGACCCATAATAGTAACAACTGGCGTTCGTTTTACAAGATTTGCTGGTTCAGGAGGAGGTCTATTAAAGTAAATTATTTTAGATAAATTATAAAAAGTTATTTAAATAACAATGAAATAAGAATAAATTAAATCAGACCTTCTTGAAGCATCTTTAAATTCATTAGTCCTTGAAGCATAAATGACAGGTGAACCAATTATTTTACATCGAAAACCAAGAATTTTTGCAAGTTTTTTAATAATACTTAAGTCATCAAGAACTAAAGAAAAATAGAACAAACATATTTTTAGTTATATTTACATTTACAGAAAATAATTTCTTAATTATACAATAATTTTGCAATGAATAAATATCATTTAAAAACTGATTTGCTCTATTTGTTAAAAATGTTTGATGTATAGAATTAAGGACAAGTTATAAAACTTCAATAAATTGCAGAATCTTGAAAGTTAATACCAGATTCTGTTAATCTGGTATCAGATTTCAAGATTCTGCAATTTGATAGTAATTTGAATCATCTCAGATTCAAATTAGATTTAAATTTAAATAATTTAAAAAATATTGAATCACAGAATTTTTATACATTAATATTTAATAAAAATTTAATTTCATTATCAAATAAAACTGATGCTAATATTAGAACTATTTATTATTTGACTAATTATGCTGTGCAATTCAGAAAAAATTTTCACAAAATAGTTTCTATAACAGTTTTATAATTGATTTTTAATTAATTATTTTCATTTCGAAGAGAGTTCAATTTTATACATAAAGAATTGTGTTAGTTGGATTTATCACAATATCAAACTTTATTGATAAAGAATACTAGCTTATATTATTATTTGCTATATTTTCACATTTATCAAGACAAAATATTAAGTTTTTTCTTTCATAAAGTAATCAAGAAATAAAGATGGAAGCAAGAAAATTGTGTGTGTGCATACACACACCTGGTATTTAGAATTCATGAATTATAGCATTTAGAAAGCTAAAATTATTTTATGTTCTAAAAATAACATATGATATAAATGATTAATCATAAGATTAAATGTGAAGTGTTTTATATAATAGACGTTCAATTTTGTAAAATTAACCAGGATGGTAATTTTCATATTAATTAAAATTGAAGATAAAGTCTGTTAAACAGTAACTTTTTTACTTATTTCCATGTTCCAGAATACATTCCATGACAACCTGATCGTCCCATTTAGGCTAATTGGTTCCATAAACTCAGAAATTCCCTTAAAGAATGAAAAAATATACATTAGAACTCCAATTATATGAGTCTGGATTAATTGAAGGTACATTATCTGAGGCAAGTCTCTAAGTGAATACACTACTTTTCTTATACTGTAAGTCATAAAAGAAAAGTTTAAATGATAAGATATATTGCAAAATTGTTGTTTCTGTTACTTTATATCATTTAATTTCAATATGACACAAGCTTATTCATATTAAAATGTAACTACAATACTACAGAAATTATTCTTAAAACTACTGTATCTATTAGCTATATGATGTAAAAGTTGTTCTTTTATAAAATTAAATTCATCTATATATATAATCTAATTATTCTTAATATAATGTTTTACTATATTGCCCAGAAAATTGTTTTTTGCCCCCCAAAATATAAATTGTTACTAATCGCCCCCTCAATATAGAACTGGGAAAAACGCCCATATGGGGGCGATATCGCCCCCATATGGGCATTTTTCCATGTTGAGGGGGTGAAAAACAATTTTCTGGGTGATATAGTAAAATATTATATTAAGAATAATTAGATACTTTATTCGTTATATCATACAATAATTAAACAAATAACATTAGTCACTACAGTAGTCTATTCAATGCAGTACAAATTTGGTGTTAGCCTTGGCCCTCGACATCGGAATTTTGAAGTGAAGGGGGCGATACGTAACAGTTTTATTGAAGGGGGTGACGATTCGTTAGAGGTTGAGAAACACTGGCCTAAATACTTTAGGCTTAACTAGTTTGTCGTAGACTGAACTGATTTAGAATTATTATTTAAGTCAGGCCTGGCCAACCCAAATTGTTTCGCAGGCCACTTTTATCACGTGTAACATTACAATGGGCCACAATTTAGGCAAACATGCTTTTAAAAAAGTAAAACAAACACAAAATGAATAAGATTTCATTGTTATACCAAGAGTTTGTACTCGCACTTNAGTGTGTGGGCTAGATTTGGAGAATCCATGCATCTCGCATGGACAACTGTGTGTGGCCAGATCACGCATCGGAAAACCTTCTGATTTATTCGTGTACGCACCAGACGAAAAAACAAAAAATATTGTGTATCCACGAGCACGCCAATAAATAAATAGAACTGAAATGACACTTTGAAATGTTTTCCCGATGAAAATGAATAATAATAATAATAATGTAATAATAATAATAAGTTACAATAAAAATGATAAAATGTAAATTGAATTTTATTATAACGAGTTTGCTTGAATTTTGTTTCTTCTGAGATCGCAGCAATGCCCAAAAGGGTAAGCTAGTTAAGTTATAAAAAGAAACTTAAAACTGAGACCATTGTTTATATTTGTAATTTTTAATCCAAAATGGTTGTGGCTGTCAGTTTTATTCAAATTTTTGGTTATCCAAGGTAATATCAGTCCACAATACCGCAGATAATCATGGTTCTACAATATATCCAATTAATTGGAGTGGAAACAAACAGACTAAAAATTTTTTAATTAGATATATATTTTTTAATGTTTTAAGAACACTTTTTAAATTTTTGGTAACCAAGTATCCTAATAGGAAAGGTTAATCATCATGGAATGTATTCTGGAACATGGAAGTGAATAAAAACATGACTGTTTTGACAGACTTTGTCTTCAAATTTAATTAATTAACAGAAGTTTGTTAATCTGGCACCCATGAGACTAGGATAGTGCTGGACTGTTTTTGAGTTTTTGCAAAGTTCAATAAGTTTCATACAATCTGAACATTATAGACATTGCTGTATATTTTGTACTAGTGCATGCTACTGTATGCACTGATACAAAACAGCAATTCACATGCTGTTTAATCAGTCTGAAGATCATACAGCGCATGACTATATTGTGTTATGATTGATTAAAAACTGCAAAATGTGTTAATGAACACATTATTTCATAAGATCAACATTTACAATGATTCATTTGTATATAAAGTAAAATTTATTTTTCAAACATGTACTGTATACATATGACTGTCAAAAGTTACACTTACTCAGAGTATGAAAAAGCTGTTTTTTAGGTGCTCGCATGTTGTTGTGAGTCCCTCACAACAACCTGCGAGAAAAAAAAAACATCAGTCAGGCATGTTACTGAACATAAAACATGTGTTCAGAAACAAGACAATGTAGATTACTTTTAGTTTACTGAATTACACTGCATAAGAGTTTCTACCTAAAGTTTTAATACATCATATGTCCAAACAAATTCAGATCTGTGGAATACTAGCAAGCCAGATTATTATTGAACAATTCTGGATTATCAATTGCTGTTTAAAGAGTACTGTATTACTGAACATTCTGGATTATTGGATGCCAGTTAATGAACTTCTACTGTGTATCTGGATTAATTATTTACTAAATTATACAAGCAAAATATAAATATTGAACTCTTGAATAAGGTATATGTGCGATTTTTGGAAGCATTTAAATATTTATTACCTAATAAATTAATCATGATATAAAGAAAAGAAATTAATACCTGCATTATCTTCTGAATAATTTTCACAATCCTCAACAAATAACATTGCTTCATATACATCATCTGAAATATAATTTATTAAAGTTAAATTAAAAATATCAGTATTAATATTCATTAATTGTGCATTAACAAGTTCTTTCATTTGATTTTATTAAAACAAACAGATATATCATTCTTAATTTCAACAGTATAACAACAAAAATATCTCTTACCAATACTTCTATTTGCTTGTTTAGCTAAATGGGAAACAGTCATATTTTTCCAAACTTCAATGACTTCCTCTTTCTTTTTTGTTTTTGGAACATATTTCTATAATAGAGTGCATAGTTTGAAATTAATTAATACAAAAATTAATTATAGTTTAAAATAGATTTATATAACATTTTTATTTATAAAATAAGTATTTTTTTAATACAATACCTGAAATTTTTTACTTAGGTATGTTGATGTATGTACCAATCTTTTATTATATTTACATAAATTACAAATTGATTTTTGACGAACATCACAATTTCTATAACTTTGATAATTGGAGTATAATAATCTCCCGTTCAGTTTATAGAGAAATTCATGTTTTCCAAACACCGACACAGATTTTGCATGAAATTTCCTAAAATAGAAAGAACAATATTCATTCATTGATTTCTAACATCTATAAAAATTTAATATATTAATTTGTTACAGCAGAAAATTTATAAGCCTTAAAGCAGAATTTAAATTTCAGCTGTATTATTTTTTCTGTTCCATTAACAATGTGTAACTTTTTGCTTTATTACTTTTATGCTGGGCTCTCCATTTAGCATGATTTTGAAGCAATTCAATTGCTTTTGTCACAGCTCACGCATATTAAAATCACCTTTAAGTACTTTGGCAACAGAGTACTGGGACAACATATATTTTTGTGTGGTGATTCTGTCACAGCCAATCAGTATGCAATGTCCATAATTCCAAGAATACACTATCATCCTTAGCAATAGAGTGTGTGGTGTGGAAATTTTGAAAAGATGCAAAAAATAGTAAATATTACATTAAAAAAATTAAATTGAAAAATATAAAAAAGTTCATTTTAAATTGAAAGCTTTGCCACCATTTAAAAAAAAATTCCTGTAATTCATTGCAAATCACCTCCATTTTGGGCATACTGTGTAGTTACGTAGGGCAGCAATTACATTGCTCTACAAATTATCAGGTGATGATAATGCAATCATGCAAGTGGAGAGCCAGCATTATTACTCGAACACTACACTTTATTATTATTCTTAGTATTAAATTTAATGAAGAACAAATCATAAATACAAAAAATACTTTATGCTGCAATTTTATTAATATAATTATTGTCCAAGTTTAACTGAAACATAAAATAAAGATAAAAAAACATTTAAAATTACATATTTAGAAAAACAGAAAAACAGGAAAAACATATTTTCTTTTATCCTATTAATTGTATATTTATTTCTGTATATGGCCAGGAACACACGTGTAAAATTCGGCATAAAATCTAGCATAAAACAGAAAGTGTAAAAAATTTTCTGAAATTTTGGCTGAAACATAACTGAAAAAAGAGTAGAGCATGTCTCTACTTTTTACGCCAAAATTCCTCCAATAAAGAGAAGTCTTTTTTGTGACATCAAATCAGACATGTGGTTTTTATTCTAACAATGGCGGCAATGACGGTTAACCCTACAATTGTGACGATTTTAAAAAACGAAAAATAAATGAAATACAGGAGTTTATTTAATCCATTTGACTATATCAGTGTCATGTATAAAGACACTGTATTTAAACAACGTTTATGGATGGCTATAGGTGCTAAATTTCAAACAACAGGTAGATCTAGTAGAATCAATATATAGGCCTAGTATTTAGATCACACGTTCTTTATTTCAATTTGGTATACAAGTCTATTAATTTAAATTTTCTATATTATAGCAGAGGAAACAGAGAAAAAAATGGAAGATACAAAGGGATAGATATATGAGAGAAAAAAAATTAATAAAATGTAGCACTGTCAGTGGCAGTGGCGTTTCCTATTCGGCCAGAATTTTTACGTATGTGTATTCTGGCATAAAAGCATAAAGTTTGACCCATATTTATTTAAATTAAAAGGCTCTTTTTTTCTTTTGTATATATATTTATATGTCATTGAAATATACATTACATGAATTATGTGCAAAACACATAGTTGTCTATTTGCCCTAACTTACATTACTTGTTAGAGTTAAATTCTTCAGCACAGTAAGATGTCAGCTCTGAGAGAAACAAATTAAATTCTGGGTCCATACAGATAATTCGAATTACATGCCACTTCTCATTCCTCATTTATGTCAGCTGACCCTATTCACATTTTTCACCAGATGCTCACCCTCTGATGTTTAAAAACAAAATTATTCTATCTGGGTCATTTGATTCATTCTTGTGTATTATCAGCAGTAAAGATGAATAGCGATAGAAAAAGCAAAGCTTTCTGTTGCATTCCAAATTGCAATTTAAAAGACTTACGGGATATAAGTTTTCCTGATTTAAAGCCTGATATAAGTTTTCGTCTATTCCCACAAGAAAAACAGATGATTATTCAGAAATCTGTCAGTTATATTTATGAGCTGCTGTGAATTGCAAAAGAGTGGATTACAGGTATACCTTGCCTTACGTCGGTAATTGGTTCCAGGAGAACGACGTAAGTTGAAAAACGACGTAAGTCAAATTTACTTGTCTCCGAATCTACTTGTCACTAGGCTAAACCGTAAATCACCATTCCCGGTTCTGTATTTTATTTATTAATGCATTTTTAATAATATATGGTTAATAAAAATCTATTTTAAGCTTACAGACAAATAAATTTTAGTTTTTAATATAGTACAGAAAAAAAGTAATCTAAATTTACGAATGCATGTACTGTAAATACATACTTGTATATATTTTAATATGATTTTATGTGCTTTAAACGTTTTTCTTGTGATATTACGACTTCAATATTTGTGGCGGACAGACAAAGTCGAATAAAACAACTTAAACTTGATTTTTATTTTTCCATATACTTTTTTGACAAATGACGTATAATCAAGAACGACGTAACTCGAAACAACGTAAGTCGAGGTATGCCTGTAGACTGTTAAGAATTAGCAGTTTCCCGATTGTACAGCTTTACACAAACAAGTTACGCTGTCAATTTTAAAACATATTTTCTTAAAGTTTAAAATGCCAGTAATTTTGTGTGGGACACAGGGTTAGATTTAAGCATTTTGAAGCCCTAAGCTGAACGCTGTAAGGCCCCTTACCAACCCTTCACAATTTTACAAGTCAATCATAAAAAGAAAATAATTAAATCAGACTGTGTCTCTGATTTAATACAGATATTGGAAGAAAAAAACGTGAGGTTTCACTAGTCTTATGTTTTATAACTGAATTTAATTAAATATTTTACCCATTCTAAATCTTTTTATAAATTGGTTTTATCGATTTTTTTAAAAAAGACCTTATGTTAATTCTTAGAAAAAAAATTAATGAAATACTACACAAAATAAAAAGCAATGTATTTTTTGTTGGTTTGTAAAAAAAAATATTTATTACAAAATTTGACTTCATTTTTTACCAAAACGCGAATTACGAATCTGGCCTTCAGCGGCAAGCGAAACTGACAAGCGTGTTCATGAAATAGCTCATAGTACGATGGGCGCCACTGAAGTACTATCTCAATTATTTATTTATAAATGTTCTGAATTCATCCATAACCAAGAAAAACTTACTTATAAACATAAAAGCATCTCTTACAAAAATATTATAAAATAAAATTACCTAAACAATCGAAAAAGAATCATGTCCATCTCAAATTCAACACTATTAAATGGAGGCAGCCATTTTACGTCGACAAAACACTCTCTAGCGGCAACTAAATTTTTGAAACTAATTTAGAAATTTCTTTTTTGGTTAGCTACAAAAAAATCTAGCGACGAGTTGCGTAACTTTTCTGGTTGTTATGAAATTTTATTATAAAAAATTTGTATATTATTAATTATTATAAATGGCAAAATGCTTTATTTTAAGAGTAGGAACGTGTTTCATAAAAAAGTTGTAAATGTTTATAACCAACGGTTATAAACATTTTATAACCGTTGCACGGTTACTAGATAATATCGTTGAGGAATTGTTATTGTTCTCATCCAACCAGCTACAATATGCTGCATAGATTGTGGCCGAATGACCGAGCGGTCAAAATGGTAGCCTATTGCTCTGGGGACCCGGGATTGAATCCAGACGGGTCGAAAAATTCCCAGGAATTATTTTGGGTGGTCCATCTGGATATGTCGGGCCCCGTCGTTCACCACCCGGCCCCCCATTATAGGCCTGGCCGAACCAATAATGGGCTTGCTAAAAGAGGCCCTCTTAGTGCCTACAAGGCGGAAAGAGCTGAAAAAATAGGCTACATGGAGTGGGTGTGGCCACAGCCTACAGAATAAACAGCCCAGCCATTCGCTCTTATCTGGTGTGTCGCGTATGGCGGCAATTTATAGATTTTCCTCACAGAAACAAGCGTCTAGCCCCCTAGCGAGCATTAATTCTAAATTATACCGCTACGGCGAACAGCGCCAATGTCGAGAACTGGATTTGTGTCAGTTTCGGGTCATAGTTACAAATTACCAATGCTTTATTCGTAATTTCTGTTGGTTAAAAATGAACCTGGGGGCTAAAAACAGAAGCTATGGAAGCGATATATGACGGTATGTTTATACCGATTATGACCTATACAGCATCGGCCTGGAGTGGAAAGGCCAACAATACCATTTAAAAAAAGTGCCTTCAGCAGGCACAAAAGTTGACGAAATTCTTTAGAACTACTTCTACCGAGACGCTAATGGTTCTAGCAGGCAAGGCGCCTATAGAACTATTGATTGAGGAAAGGGCCAAGAGTATTGCCTAAAGAAAAATGAGGAAAATAACATGATAGATCTACCTATAGATCTAAGTAATTTTGAACGAGACGTTCCAGTCAAGAATCTGCCACATCCAGCCAAGAGTGGTGGTGTTAATGTTAGTTTGTTAGGTTAAGTTAGTTAAGTGGCAACGCAACACTTTTGCGATCTGCCTAGGGGATGCCTTCCGAGAGGTCTTTTTAAAGAAAACTGGCCCCTATTTAGGCGTTACAGACGTACAGAACTCCACGTGGTCAGCCCGTCCGAGCGAGGCGCGAACCCACGACCGAACTCTCAATGTTCAGGATACGAAGACCGCTTGGACACTGGCAGGGGCGCCGCTAGCTGTTTGAACGCCCGTGTGCAATACCGATTATGCCGCCCCCTGTTTAACTACGATTACCTATGCTGAGCTTGCCAGAAAGGCTCTTTGCCGCCCCCTGGACGTGCCGCCCGCGTGCGGTGCACGCCTTGCACGCCCGCTTACGGCGGCCCTGGACACTGGTGGGCTCAGGTGTTAATGTAATGGCTGATAACCCAATTAAGACGGATATATACACAGACGGCTCCAGGTCAGAATCTGGGACCGGGACTGATTATGCTGTTTACGAATGCAATGAAGAAATTCATAATGACAAGTTGACGTGAAGTCGTATTGCTCCAATTATCAGGCTGAGCTATTGCCATTGATAAGGCAGTGGAATGGTGCATAGAAAACCAAAGGAAAGAAGGAGCCTGTATTAATACGGACAGTGTTAATACGGACAGTCGGAGTGTTCTACAGGTCCTAACTGATAGGAGATCTACACATCAAGTGTTCAGGATACAGACTAAGTTAACACTTCCACGTTCACGGAAGTTGAAGAAGTTCCAATCACGTGACTTGCCTCAAGCTTTGTTTACTTTTAGATACGGTCAATAGATAACCATCTTGTTTTGCAGTCAGTAGGAATTTTTAGTGGGATTGAACCATCTTTGAGGGTTTGGTACAGATTGCTGTAGTTATGGTATCTCAGAAAAAATTTTTGAGAACCATTGTGTGTTTCTGCGACAAGGAACTCTTATTTTCTAGGTAAGCATTCAGAAGAGGTATGGGAAACAGCTATCTGCAGAGAATGACCTACATACCTTATTAAAATAAGGAAAGGAATGTTTTCTTTTAACCTTACATAAACACCACTATTAATGCCAGTCACTACATTTGCATTGTCAGTGCCAATGGCTATAAAGTTCTGTAAATATAATTTTTTTTCCATTAACATTTTTTAAATTGCCTCCACAATACTCTCAGAGTCACATTTATCTAATTCTATAAGTCCCAGATAGGTTCATACAACTTTATTTTCATTATTATTTTAATAGATTATGGATATACCAAGTAATTTCATTACAGTGATATCATTTGTTTCATCGAGCAACAAACTAAATTTACCATCACCTATATCATCTCTCAAACACTGTTCAAATGAGCACAAAGGATATTTTTTATAATGTTTGTACATTTTGTACGATGCATTCTCATATTTGAAACTGTCTTTCTGTCATTAATACTGGCCTTGCACATGTCAACTAAGTGATCAGTTTTTAATGGAACAATGGCAGCTCATGAACATAGCAATGGACCCCTTAAGTTTGGACGATTCCTTATTTTAGCTGCATATTAATTAAGGAAGTCAGAGGAGACTGAGTCTTAAAGGGCATTACCCTACCGTGTTTCTTTGATTCTGCATGAGTCTTTGTCTTGATATTTTGCTTTTAGATCGCACTTACAATACATACTTTAGTTTCATCTTCGGGAACCGCCATTACCCATTTCATTAATAATTTATCTTTTAACCACTCTTTACGAAACTTTTGTTTATATTGTTTCGGCATTTTACGAAACTTTTGTTTTATATTGTTTCGGCATTTTGTAATAATTCTGTTAAAATTAATTTTAAATTCAAATTAAGCAAACTTTTCAGTAATACATAAGCTGTTGTATTTTAATTATATTTAAGAATACATATGCTACAGGCAAATGTGGAAATCACAAATGTCTAATGTCCTTTCCACATCTGGATCGAAATATTCACTGATGTACACTAAAAATTAATGATTGGTCAGATTATGATTTCAATTATGGCATTGATCACAACTCACGAAAATTGAAGACTCATTAGTAGTGGAATAGCTGAATGACTATTAATGAGTCCTAATAAGTACTGTACGTGGTTAAGAGTTCAATTCTTTTTATACATTGAAGTTGACAAATTTAATATCTAAACTTTGAAAAATATCTAGAATTATCTAGACCAAAATAAAAATAATCTAGATTAACATCCATCATCTAAATGCACATTTTAAACATCTAGATCAAGCAAAAATAATCTAGATCTAGATGAAAAATATCTAGTTTGGCAACATTGCCAATAACGCGTGAAACAACCTACGTAGCAGACTCTAGTCACGTGGCGTAGCTGAATCTCTGTTTTACTTCGTAATAAAAAATAGCTTAATATTTAGTCAAAAATTTAAGTACTTATCTTTATAATATTTCTAAAAATTTAAAATAATTTCTTGTTATAATTTTAATACAGTATATATATATATATATACACAAATAGAGGGCGGTGGTGTTTTATATGATTGCCGCTAGGTGAAATAGGAGTAAGCGGTACTGCAATGTAAATGTGAAAATATACAAATGAAAAAATTTCAATACATAAAAATAATGCCAATATCACATCAATGAGTAAGTACAAGTAGTAAGAAAATGTCAGATTGCAATAATTGTACATTAATAATAATTTAAACGTGCAAAGTTAATAATGTGTTGACATTGAACATGTCATCAACTTTACAACTTTATGATATTCATTCATTACACCGTAATTAATTAGTTGTAATTTAATTTGAAGTTTTTTTCTTAAATTTTGATAAACGTATTTTCGTTTATAATCAGTTCCGAATAAATTATGCAAACATATTTATTATCTAGAAACGTCTGTTCTCCAACATATTGCATATTTTATAATTATACCTCTATGTTATCATTATGGACACAATACGTGTCAAAAACTCAAAAAATGCACTAATGTTAGTGCTTTATAATCTTATTACGTGTACGATTACAACAGAAGGTGAAAATTAATGTTGAAATGATTTATCACATTCCATTAATATAGTTAAATCAAAAGATTACTTTGGTATAGAATTTTATTTTAAATCATATTGGAGAGTTTTTAAATTGAATAAAATAAAAACAACTGTAGTAGAATATTCTGAAAATTAAAATATAAAAGCATATTTAACTTTCTAAATTGTTTGGCAAAGATGAAATTTTTTAATTTGTCTTATATTTTTGTCATATTGGTTACAGATGTAGTGAAGTTTTTACAAAAATAATATATTCTTTGATAAATTTATGTAAAGAAGTTTAAATAAGATACTATTAGAAGAGAACATTCAAATGTATTTTCTTCCATTTTTTATGAAATTTAAGCTTGCTTTATTATTATGAAATATATATAATGAAATTTTTTAAATATACACTTGTGAATTTAGTTTAAACAAGCCAAGTGTGCCAATTAGAACTAATAAACATTAACATATTTAGATTTATATTTTAATTATCCTTATATTATATTTAACAAATTCTTTATTTTATTTCGAGAATTAAAAGCATTCTTCGACCTAAAAGGTTGAGAATTAAAATTATCGAAAGTTTTATATGTTTGGTTTTTTGCATCTTATTGTATTATTAAACTGCATTCCCATTTTTGCAAATTTTAACATTTTTAGATGGAAATATCTACTATATCAGGTAGAATATTACTCTATTGAAATTTTATATTTATTAGATTCTCTCTAGAGAAAAGAATATAAACTCTGTATTTATTTGCTTTTCTGCCTATTCATCATCCAGCTGGTTGGCCAGCAAGATGTTTCAAATTGATTGTCATATCATTCTACAGCTGTTTGTAAATACTGTA